CCTCGTCGGGATTATGTTGCTTCAAGACTACGATCAAATCCTCCCTTTAGTGGCTAAATCAAAAGATATACAGAATTGGATTTAAGGTTTTGAAGAGGAAATCCTATAGGCAATGGTGAAGGAAGAATTCAGCTTCCGTGAGAGAGAGAGAGAGAGAGAGAGAGAGAGAGAGGAGAGAGATTTAGTCTGATGTTGTGGTTTGCTCACTCGTTAATGTCGTTTATCATCTATGTCGATTGTAGTTGCTACCCACCATCAAACAGAGAGAGAGGACGATTAGTCTCACGCCTTGAGGGAGAGGATGATTTCTATTAACTCTTTAGAGATTTCTATAATGACAATGAGCTTTCTTGTATCATTTACTAACATCGCACATCCTAATAACTATAGAGATTTATATTAGCAATAATTTTTGCTTATTTTTAATCTTATTTTATGAACTTTTAATATTCCTTTATGGGACATAAATATCTTTATTATCTTCTCTTTTCTATTTTTTTTTTGCTTTTCCTCATGAGTGACACGAGCACTAAATGATATCGAACGATGATTGCTACTTCTTCTCCTACTTTATTTCTCAAGCCACAATAAGTAAATGATGTCGAACAATGAAGCAACAAAGAATGGAATTGACACAGGTAGGACATAAATAATTAACTATAAATGAAATGAAGGATTGTAGTAATAAATATGATTGGTAATTGATGACCTATAAATAGTAAAATTATATTTTATTATTTTCAGTTATTACCAATAGGGTTGCCAATTGTAAGGTTCAAAACTTAAGCAAACATGATGTTTGATCTTGGCAGTTTCTTTTGTGAGGCTGAGTTGACTTAATTTGATCTTAAATGTAGGATTTGATTATGTAGATCATTTGTTATCCTATAGTGCAGATAATAATCCCTCTAATTTGATATAATATATATATAATAAATGTAAAAACATAAATATAAATTAGTGATAAAGTACATGTTGTGTTCTAGTGACAACAATAAAAAAATATTTATCAACTTTTTAAAATACTATTTATCACAATCATAAAGTTTTTTTAGAAACTTTTGTGACAACATTAATAACAACCTCAACATTAATAGTCAAAATTTAAGGATTTAGTGATAATGTTTTAGTGATAAATGATGATTCGCCACTAAAAATATATTTAGTGATAAGTTAGTCGCTAAATCATTTTTAATAATAAATCTAAATATTTATAGACTAATTTTTGTGACTAAGAAGATGTTTCTTGTAGTGAGTAGAGTGTGTTTCCGTTCCACATGGATTTTGGATGATCAGCACAGACGTATATTACACATGCTTGTTTAACGTGATGGAACTCTTGGATACATCATCCATTTCTTTCTTTGAATAGATGGGAAGAAGGCAATGAACATTGCAGAGACTCGGAAATGCTATCTCTCAATATCCAGGTTCAAGTACTTGCACAGACATACACACAAATGTTTACTGATAAATATTTTGCTCCATACAACAGCTGGAAACAGCCATTTCTGCAGTCATTGTTCTCTAGTAGACTTATTAGCCCTTAAATTATGAAACAATACACCAAAGTTCCTAATCGCCTTATGATGTGACATGTAGTAAGTATTCCATTCACGAAGACGCAGGATGAGAAAGACAAAAGCCAGATCTTTTCCTTGTTCTCCTCAACCAATCACAGAGTTTGCAGGCCATATTTGTCAAGTCAACAGAACATTAGCCATCAACTATTTCCTTGAGGAAGCAAGAGGTCAATAGTTTTTGAGCAACATTGTAAAGATAGGTTATTCTTCCCTAATGCATTTCCATTTTATATCTGGTATGTAAACGGGAAGCTATCAATTTCTCTTTTTTTTTTCTTTCTAATTTTAAAAAATCCAAATGCTAAAAATACCTCATATATATATATATATATATATATATTTCATTTGGCGTACAATTCCACCTTAGAACAATTGGATACTTTACTTATGTGGGGCATATGTACAGCTTGAAGACAGTCACTGAAATTACATAATTCCCCCATCATTTTTTTTCACTCAGGGTTTCTTTTGAGTATAAAACAATCCTGAAATCATCCAAAAACAAAAAGCTATCAAATTTTACTTTTTTCTATTTTCTATTTTATGTCTTTGGAAAAACTTGCTAAGCCTCCCGCATCATCAGCAACTGATTAAGTTGATGTTTACTTTTTTGTATTTTATATTTTATGTCTTTCCAAAAATCATTAATCAAAATTTTAAATTAAAATTAATAATAATATATTCATCAAACATATATAAGTTAATCTTAATTTTATCCATTTTTGATACGAGACTAATCTGAATGTTACAATCTCCTTGATGTTGTAGTCAAGACATTAAACCTCAACTGCAGCATACTGATGACTCCATGTTATATTGATTCCATTCACTTATAGCACTCTTTTATTCGATTCTTCTTATCATGTTTATTAGACTAATTAATCTATCAACTTCTTTTGACTTAAATAATTGATAAAAATATTTAAACTAAAAATAATAATAATATATTCAGATTTATATAAATTAATATTAGAATTAATAAGGAGCGTTAGAATATCAATAGCCTCGTGGAGATTAAACTCGTCCAAGCTTCAAACATCAGCAAGCGCCATCCATGGTAGTGGAGATTTTGATCCGACCCTTGGTACTTTGCGAGGACAGGTCTCAGAGTTGAGGCTCTTTTGACAGAAGGCTACTGACACAACCATGTTGGCACATGCTCTCATTTAATGATTCTTTAAGAACCCATCCATTGAACATTGATCGGAAGATGCAGAGATTTCTTTGGACGTACCATGCATTCAATGTTCAAAGCTCTGGCCTTTTTCCCTCTGTTCTATACAAGTAGTGTTCATCTCCTCGGTTCAGGGATGTGTGGGCTCTTTGGTGGTGCACTCCTGATCCTGAGACTGATCGATCCCCGCATGGCAAACGAGCAAGGCCAGTGGAGATCAAACCTGTTCAAGTGTTGGCTGCTCTTGTGCCTGTTTCTGCTCCCATTGGCTCAACTATCAGAGAGCTCGAAGATCTCAGTAGCCTATGTTTCTGCTCGGCGCCTGCTGTTTCCTTCCGCATCTCAGACCTCCACTGCCGCCTCCAAGTACGAAGAGAGCAAGCACGAAGTCCACAGCGGCCCCAACCCTGTCTCAAACAGGTAGCGCAACTCGTCTTCACTATCTGCTCTTCCTTTGGCGCATGGCCATCGCTGCTACAGACAGAGCTGTGAAGTCGCTTCGTTCACTCTACTATGACGGCCGAGATGGGATTTTTGGCGTCTTCCTTGAGTTCTTAATCGACAGTAAGCAACGTAAATTTCGATGAATATATAAATGTATGCACTCCTAGCGAAGCGTCAGTCTGCAAACACTAAGTGGCTGTTGGAGTTGACAGATCCCATCCTTACGTATCACTGAAGAAGCCATGATTTGACATGTAATCGAAGAAATAAAATTGGCAAGTAGGGGGGGGGGGGTTCGTTTTACTCGCCGTGAGCATAGCATGATGATGTGTAATTGTTAGCCATGATTTATTCTTGTCGTACTTCGACAATCAACCAGAGCACGGTGTGACAAAGTCCACCGTCATTTATCTTTATCCCGATGAGCACATGGCCATCAAGTATTGTCCGTCTGTTTCGAGTAGACTGCACAATTTTATCTCTTGTACATCCAAAACGTGTGAGGTAGAGATATCTCTGAGCTATGAGGTCAGAGATATTTAATTTTTCTTTATTTTATTATAAATATTATATTATATTATTTTATTATTATAAAATTTATTTTATTATAATATTATTCGTATATATTTTTTATTTTAAAAAAATTATTCAACCTGTGGATTGGATTGATTAGCGCATCATTTCGATCAGTGAGCGAGTGACTTGAGAGTAGGTCGGGCCGATGTCCAAACCAGTTTTAGTAGTGAGTACTCGATCATCTTTCACAAAGAAACATTTTTAATATTTAGAAGACCAGATAAATAAGTCATGTCATGCATGTGTCTCGTCCTGTCATGTTATTAGCATATTAATTAGGATTCAAATCTGTCCGAGCACTTCAAGTTAACGATCCTTAACGTCTTGAATTTTACAATTTTTAAAAAATTATATTTTTATTTTTTTATAATTATAAAAATAAAAATAGTTAATTTATTTTTATTTACTATATACAAAAATAGAAAAAAAAAATTTATTATCTTATCGTCTAAAAGATCCTCATAAAACTTTGTTATCCTTTTGGGTGATGTATCGAAGATATTAATATAATTTTTTAAAATATATGAAGTGAAATACTATTGATAGCAAATTATAATGATAGCCTTCACCTTCACCGTTATAAACATCGAGATCTAAAACATAAACATAGTCATAGACAACAGCACATAAAGACATCTGTCGCTTTTGTTTAAGCACCTGACTTCATCTCTTCCGTCTATTTAGGCGTCAAACCTTATACTAACCACATCAACTTCGAGAATGCCATCACCGGTGACGTAATAGCACGCAATCTCCACGTGGTCCAGCTCATTCATCCAAAGCCTAATAATTAATAAACTTTTGCATCCGCGTGCTGCGATCGGTCCCCTCCCAGATCGTAACATCGTAACCGTTGAAACGCAAAATCTACGGCAGCGAGTAGAAGATGACACCACGCTGTGCCAAAGCACGTTTTCGTCGCCACCCTTCATTTGGCCACATCACAGATAGTTGAATCCCAACCGTCAAAGAACCAGAAATCCACGGTCAAGATTCGCTGTCAGTGCACGTTTTCCTCGCCGCCGTCGATTTGGGCCCCTCGTCACTGGCAGGTGATCTGTACAGTGTTCTTTTCTGAAAGAACAACGATTTGCTATTTTGCTGCTACTCGCTCGGCTACCTGTCTTTTGATAGGTGAGAATGATGGAACCGTTGGTGGGTCCCTATGTGACATGTGGAACTTCCAATCAGGTGGCCATTCGCGTGTAGCTCAAGACGAGAATTCCGAAAAACTGTCGCCAGATGACGGATGCGAAGAGAAAAATAAAGAGTGTGATTACTCTACCTGGAACCCTAATCTCTCGTTCGATAGGCAGATCCGGGAGATAAAAAAGGGTAGCGATGGTTTCGTTCCTAAATCGAGCAGTCGCCATTTGATGAGTCCAATTTCGATTTAATTGACCGACGGGCTACCGATTTCGCCGATCACTTTATCAGCGATTGTCGTCTTGATCCATCTGGTCACGGTTTGGAACAATTTTTTAGCAGTCTACTTTGTGACTGGGGTTGAAATCAGCGGGGAATCATCAAATGGCGAGGAAGATGCTGATAGATGGAGAGCTTGGCCAGACCGCAACGGACGAGAAACAGTATGATTTCGACCTCTTTGTTATCGGCGCTGGGAGCGGTGGTGTCCGCGCTTCTCGAACTTCCGCTGCCTTTGGAGCCAAGGTCAGGGATTGCGGATCTTCCGTTTCAGTTTCAGTTATCCTTTTCTTTCCCGCAGAATCCTTACCTTTGTATACAAATTGCTCTTTTCTGCGTGTCGCTCGATGGGCTATTCAAGAGTTATTTGATACTTTTGCTGGTCTGTTATCTTTATGATCATGTGAATGAGGATTGCTAGCATGATCAAATATTGCTTCTTCTGATAACTGTAACCAGTGTGTGGGTGGTTGTGGACCAATTAGAGCCTAAAGTTATTATTTGCTTTGCTTCTGTTTCGCTTGTATTTGTTTAGAGCTCCATGTTGAATTGCTACTTGGCATCTCATTCCTGCCGTTATCTTGGGGAGATTAATGTTTGGGATATTAATCTGTTGATTAATATCATTTCATTCATGAGTAATTGTAGTTCAGTCTTCTCTCAGATTGATGATTAGGGATTTAATTATTTCGGTTTTTTTTACCTCCTGGCTTGTTAATTATGGTGCAGGTTGCCATCTGCGAGCTTCCATTTCATCCCGTCAGTTCGGAAGTCATTGGAGGAGTTGGTGGAACGTAAGTTTTCTTTTCACGCCTGCTTTAGTTTGTTTGGTTTTAGCTCACAAGTCCTAACCATTTTCTATCTGTTGTTTATTACCTCTGTCCGAGGGATGTATGTACTCCTGTTTGCTGTTATTTCATACATTCTTAACGTAATTTTTTGAACTGGTTACTCTCCTAAACGCTCAGAAACCTATGCATGTATCACAAGAATGCAAATTAAATGGTCCTAGTGCAGTTGAACATGGCTCAATTATCCAACCTGATTGAAGCAATCTATAATTAGTTTCTTTCTATTGACCTTATATATTTTGTGACTTCTAGAATTTTCATAACAATCATGCCGAGTTTCATATTGAACCCTGAACAGAGCTTCTATGGAGCCAATGGTCTGCTAGAACCACTGAGACTCGATTGAACATGGCTCAATTATCCAACCTGATTGGATCAATCTATAAACATATTCTTTTTATTGACTTCAGATTTAGTGACTCCCAGAATTTTCATAACAATCATGCAGTTTTTCATATTGAACCTTGAACAGAGTTTATATGGAGTAAGTGATCTGGCTGGTATGGAATGTGTGCTGGAACCACTTAGGAATCCATAGATTGGATCCAGTTATAAACTGAATATTCACTGTCTGTGTCCTGAAAGCATATTACATGTCATTATGAGAAATACTGTTAATAAAGTGAGTTTATTGAAATGAATCATAAAATTTATTCAATAATATATATAATTTAGGTTGCATATGATGAATGATGGAGGTATTTTTTGTAGGACTAGTTTAACTTATTTGTTTAAGAGGAAGACATGGTCTTTTGTACCCAATAATTATTAGATAGTCAGCTTGGTGTGTTTGATTGAGTTTCTAGCTAAGATGGATATGTGTTGGGAGGATGCATGAGGACAAAATGATAGAAATTGATCAGTGCTATGGATATGAACGAGTTAGTTAGGAGTAAAAAAATTATTGCTTGTGGGGTTATTTGATTACTAATTTTCATATGTAAACTGAGTCATAAGTAGGTGGATAACTAGTACTTTTAGATATATGGTCAAACATGAAGGACAAACTTGCTCTTCTTCTTTAAGATTGATTTTGGAAGTTATATGGCTGATTATGAAAGATGCTCATCTCTCTCTTCTGCAACCAATTTCAAAGGAAAGGGAGTTCCTACTAGAGTAATTGCAGATGTGGAAGAATTGCTTCTAACATGTTCATACTCTTTAGTTTACGAGCGAAGCTATGTGTCAGGTTTACTTTATGAGCAATTAAGATTGAATGGAAAAGCTAAAAGAGCATATTTTATGCAAAACACAAACAAAATAACATGCAACAGTTGGGGTTTTCTGAAGTGAGAAGGATCGTTGACCTGCTTGGAAATAACCAAATTTATGATTCATATTAAAGAAGCTTGTCAATGGAGGGATTTTAGATGGTGTGCCTGCTTTTTAATTGGATTTTGTCACTGCAATCAATTAAATTGGGAAAGGAAATGTCAAATAGCATGCTATGCATTGTAGATCTAAAGTCACTCTCTTCATCTCAAATAATTTAGACTAGTGTTGTTAGATGCTAAAAGATGCAGCTAGGTTGTTACTCGAGTGAAGCTAGGAGCTTAACAATATAAAAATTATAAAAAATAAAAAATATAAGGATAAAGATGATCATTAGAATAAAAACTAAATAATACAATAATCCAATATTCTCTCCCATATAGGAATTGTTTGATCGACAACATTCGGCCTCTTCTTGGCATGTTCTATTTAGGCCATCAAATCTTGTATACTAATTAAGACATGTGGATTTGTTATCTAAAGATGCCTTACATATTTTTCATCATTGATGATCTTCATCGGGTCAACAGTAATGTACCTTTTTTACAATAAGATAAAAAAATTAGGTACTATGGATTATCTAATCCTAAAAAACACTCATCTTAATTTGAGGACAAAGAAAGAGTAGGGGTGTTCAAATAATTTAAGTAAAGGAAGAGGTAGCTATTGGAAGAAAAAACAGGTAGAGGTATATTGACAAGTGTCTTCGGTGATGGAGATCCGTTAGTGGATGTCCGACAGTAGAGAGTTGAGGAGATAGATATGGTGATGGTGGAGGAGATAAAAAAGGGAGGCAAAGTATATATCAGGCAGAGAGACAAAGAGGGTTGTAGAGGTATCAAAAAGGGAGGAGGAGAGAGCCATTAGGTGGAAGAGGTGGAGAGCTAGGCATTGATTGGGTTGCTTGACTTGGACACATGGTCGAGTAGCTCGGTTGGGCCGTTCGATTCCTCAATCAAGTCACTCGATTAGACTAGATGAGTGATGGAGAAGCGACAATGGGAGAAGAAGCATCAGGGGTGTTTGAGTGCACGCGGGACCGAGGGGTGAAGGAAAGGAGATATATAGCAAGGTTCATCGTACCGTACCGTACCGGCGTTTTGACCCGGGCTCGGTACGGTATGGTACCAGTGTACTGGGTGGTATATCAGGGCATACCGAGCGGTACACCCTGGTGTACCGAACAATTTTATACTTTTTCATACTGTAGTAGTGCTACAGTATAGTACTGTAGCGGTGCTGGGCGGTCCGTGTACCGGTACGTACCGCCTGGTACGGGCGGTACACTTCGGTATGGCAGACCTTGATATATAGTACCTAAGGTGGTTGAGTCTAACCAAGGCGTTGTTCGAGCTCAACTCTGGCTCAGATTGGATCAATCAATTTATCAATAGTTCGGCTCCATGCATAGTGGATCGAGCTTGGGTATCGCTATGGGTTAACTTGGGTTATGCTTTTTGTGCCTAGTCTAGCCCAGATGAGTGCTTGGGCTGCTCTACACCCAACTTTAGGTGCTCGCCTAGGTGGTGCCGAGGCAAAGGCTCCTCGCCCCACATGTTTTTCTCTTGAGGTTCACTTCACTTGGTCTGATTGCCTCGATGAATGTCACTGATTTAGGACATAGACTATTTATTATTAACTTTTTTCTTATTGTGGTGAAGTTATACATCTAAGTTATATGATCCTGTCATACACAGCATACTAAAAAGCAAAATAATAATATGAAAGACATCATATTTATGTTAATATAAACAGGATATTAAAAGTAATCTATTTATATATATTTATTTGTAAATGACAAATGACCAAGGTGGGATTCAAGAAGTCTTTTATCAGCTAAGCTAGCCAACACCTTAAAAAATATGTTGGATGAGGTCTTGAACTTTCAACTTTTGGTAACTGAGTTTGTACACTACCACCAGACCAATGTTTAAGGTGTAAAAATACATGAACCCTCAACATTTGGTAAACGGGTATAGTACACTACTATCAGACTAATGTTTAAAATGTGTAATGCATTTATATTAATAGAGGATAAAAGCGAGCAAATTTCACCTCTCTCAAATCATCTTCCTTTGTAGATCCATTTATTTGCATCAGCCTCTAATTCAACATCGTCACTTACAATATTGTAAATGTTATATCTAAATGTGGTTCACTAGTAGATATCACAAAATTGACAATATTGCCAATGTTTTATCTAAATGTGGATCGCTAGTAGATATCACAAAATTGGATCAGCATCATGTATTCTATTGATTTTATCTATGGAGAGACAGGGATTGTAAGTATCTTAAAATACAAATATACCCCAATGGAACAATAAAGATTATGCATATAATAAAATTTGTAAATTAATTATTCAAAATTTTACCCCAATATTTTATGTAAAAATGCATTGCACATAATTAGAACAAAGAATGCGTAACTAATGAATGATAACATTTATTATGTGTTTATCATATATTAATATAATAATATAGATGTTAATGTATTTATTATCTAAGTGTGGTCGCGTATCCATATCTATCCTTTGTTTTTTATCGGTCTTATCAAATTATATAGCATGCATTTTTTTGCTGTTTTCCTGGAAAATATAATTTCTACGTTGTTAAATCCAATAGTTTCAACTTTACCCTATGTATAATATCTTAATGAAGTTAAATGACCTCACATGTCGGGTTATGAAATTATTAACCAAGAGTTCAATTTTCATATATTTCTCCCAAGATTATATCACAATTTTTGCACAAATAAGATGTACATTATTTTATTTAAAAAATATTATTACTAATTTCTTTTGCTAAAGCTAGTAATTGGTATAACTCATATTACAAAATTTACTTTCACTTTGGTACACTTAAAGTCTTAAATAACGTCTTTTCATTTGCCCTAAGATTTTGAAACCTTAGAATCTTTATAGATTATAAACATATTATAAGAAAAATACCAAGAATTTAACTTGAAATTAGTTTTTTTTTAATGAATATGAAATATAAGCACTGAATAATCGGTCATATATTTCTACATTAGTCACAACTCATTTATATATTTCTTTAAAACATCAATTCACAATTTATCATAAACATGCATGAAGCAATATTAAACACACTCATAATTTAAAAGCAACTCATAATACATGTTATTGTATTATTTAATTGAATTAATAACAACATACTAAGTACATGAACTTTTATCATATATAATCAACTCATGAAATCACAGGTTTTCACGAAAAATTGTATTAAAATAATATTAATTTTCCGTTGAATTACATAAAGTATTTTAAATTATTCTAATGGATACAAAAAGTTTCTTACCATAAGTCCAAGAGACAGTTAAAATTATTCAATAACTTTAAATATAGTCCTAATTAAGAAAATGATATTTGGTCATTTAATAGGTCAAAATCAACAAACTAAGAAAGAGTTAAAATTACCTATTCAATAAGTTTAAATATAGTCCTAAACTCCTAATTAGGAAAATGATATTTTGGTCATCTAATAGGTCAAAATGATATTTTGATCAGGCTACTATGAAGAAGAAATCATAATTATCTATTGAGATTGAATATGTCAAACCAGATTATCTTAAGTATTTATAATCAACAAATATTTAATTATGCATAACCGATGGTAGCCGATACAACAACTTGAAAAAGAGTTGGATGTAGTTGGGATTTGATGAGTTGGGTTGATTTTGTAATTTTTCCTCATTGGGTAAGTGATCATTAGAAGGCATGACCTCATGGCAATATTGTTTACCTTACAACTTAAGTGTCTAGAGTTTAAGTCATGAAAATGATCACTTTGCTTGCAGAGACAAGGATGTACAAACTGAGGTTCTTTCCTTAAAAACTACTAGCTTTTACGTGCGGATGATGACTGCTCATGAGATGGTTTTTCATGAAAAAATCACATTCAAACAAAGAGTCCTTCATTGGAGTGGACTAATGAAACAATAACATGGGGAACCCATGTGATACTTGTCTGTAAGGTTAGCCAAGTCTCAACCTCATGTGATCTGTTAAGGGCATGCAAAACAAAACCAAGATAGTTGAAGAGGTGAGTGATGAGCAAAATGTCGTTGTTGTCCTAGAAGGCACAGGGAACAAACAATTGAACACAATGAAAACTTAATTTGCCTTAAAAGACAATTGCCGTCTCGAACGATAGTAGGCTCTCGAGCTGTCGGAGAGCTTGATGGAGTTTTATGCTTGCATGAAAATGCTATTTATGGCCTCACAAGATGTCAAAACTCTCGAACTACTATATCAATGCCCCATTCATTCTAGTGCCACCTAGAATTCCAGGGTGCTGAGATGATTGACATTTTCCGCTACAGCCAACGACGTGAAAAGGGCTATTTTGATTAGTTTTAGCTTGAGATGCTGACGGTCGATGGAATGACATACGGATTGCATGTACAACAAATAACAAGCAAATTACTTGCAAAATGAGGCTTTCGGCTTCCGCATGCCTTTCGTATGCCTCGCTATGTAAAGTCATAGTCATACATGGAAAAGGGTAACAACAAACAAAAGATGGTCTGCTTGAGCAATAAAGGTGCTACATCGTGAGCTTGTTGCGGCCGTCCATGACACACTTATCAAAAAGTTGGTGTCTTCAAATGAAACATGAGTTAAGATTAAGCTAGCCTTCATTTAAGTGTTTTGTGTGGCTAAGAACTTTTTCTATAGTGTGGTGGCATATATTTTATTGGGTTCTGTATATGAAACCATGTTGAACATTCTTGTGCTTTCCCTTCAGGTATCCCGATTACTTGTTTGTCCTTAATAAGAGATATGGGATCTTTAGACAAACTTATACGCATATCATAAGAGAGGAATTTTTACTCCCAAGTATTTATTTGGGTTTCTTCTTGAAAGTTGATACTAATCTATGATTCTATATGTCATTTTATTATGAGATGTTGATGCTACAGTGGGAAAATAGTGACCATATGGTTGTAATTGCAATGTATGAAAGTGACTATATAGTTAAAAACATCTATCACATGTATAAATTATTTTTGTTGTCTAAAGCTGCAACTTGCCTTAATCTGCCCATTATTATGGCAAGTACTTCTTAAATGCCTCTTTTATGAGGTTGATATAGAAAGACATTTAAGTTACAATTGATGCATTTAGAATTTAGAACTGATCTTAGTTTTTTCCTGTATAATTGCTGGCAACTAGTTCAGTGAATTCATTCTGGTCTGTTAGTTGGTTCTATCCGTTGCTTATGCTTGATGGAACTGCTGCTAATTCTTCCATTTTGAGAGGAAGATTTTGAAGTCAACAAATTGTATCTTCTAATTATAATCCTCCTTATGATGTTCAGGTGTGTTATACGTGGATGTGTTCCTAAAAAGATATTGGTTTATGCTGCACAATTTAGAGGTGAATTTGAGGTATGATCTTGGCCACATATTGCAACTGATTTAGTTTCCTTGTTGTTATCTAATTCAGCAAAGTCATGTGGTCTGTGTGATGTAAACTGCAATGAGATTCTCTCTCTTTCCACTGAGCAATCTAAACATCATGCTGGTTCAGGGACACCTTATGCTTTTGTACTTTGCCTTTCTATGGAAATGGGACGAGCCTGGCTATAATGGTTGCTCTTTTGCTATCTGGCTGATTAGGGTCTAAGTCTTAAAAATAAGCTCTGTACTTGTAGAATAAGGCTGTGTACATTGGACCTTGTACCCAACAATAGCAGGAGTCTCATACACTAGATCCACCCTTCTTTTGTTTTGTATGGAAAATGTACACATACTCCCAACTATTTTTTGTCTGTAAATTTCTAGTAAGTCTTACAAAGTCATTACAATTTAATTGACATTCTCAGTATAAATGTATATCATATGTTTACATACTTCTATTATTTATTATTCTGCATTTTTGACAAATATTTCCTGAATTGACATTTTTTTTTGAATCCAAAACCATGGTCTGCAGTACCGGTCCGTACCACCCGGTATGAGCGGTACGTACCGGTCCGACAGGCTTCCGGTACGTGGACCGCCTGTTACCGGTCCGGTACTGTAGCAGTGCTCGGCACGCATGAATATACCGCTCGGTACACCTGGGTGTACCGAGCGGTATACCGTACCGTACCGGTACCGAGTCCAGGTCGAAACTCCGGTACGGTACGGTATTGCGGACCTTGTCCAAAACAACTCAATTCTGCAACCTTATGCCAAACATCAAATTTGTGGCTCATGATCAATTGAGAGCATTCAGTTCCTTATATTATCATTGGCCTAAATTTATGGAAGCATGATAATTTTGTGGAAGAACCATTATACTGCCTTATGACTTGATTTTAAGAGTGCAATATTTGTTCTTTATATGCTGATTTTTAATCCATGTGCCATCTTCTAGAGAATGAGTTCTACATGTATTTTATTGAAACTAGTTCACTAGTCACTCATGTTTAATGGAAAATGTTATTGGTATCAGTGTTGATTTCTTAAATTTTTTATGATGTGTAGTATGCTGAATTGCTTTATTTTAGGCTTTTCTGGTGAGTATACTGTGTAGTTTTTTGTTTTTGTTTTGGCTTCTTATATTGTTGCTGAATATTTAGATATGATAAGCGAGATTATTCATGTGGGGTGAGATATAATAAATATGACTAGTTAGTTGAAAGGTTTTTTGTAAGGCGTAAGTGCTTCTGGATTGCTGTTTTTCCTGTCTAGAAATACTGCCTTGATGACAGGATATTTCAACATTTTCCTGTAAAATGTCTTCCCTTGACATAGGGCTATGATGAGAATTGTGTCATTAATTGTATTGATGCCTTTGTTATTTTTGGGTGGAAGATGAACAGTGTAGCTTGGACTGTGGATAAATCTGGTGTATTTTGTGGCAACTCTTTATTCTTATTCTATTTTGTTTCCTTTCCTAGTTTGCTTTTTTTTATAATTAAAATTAGAAGGCTTAGTTTCAGTAAAGCATTTCCCGTGTCTTCGGTCTTTTATAATATCAACAGCAACAATTTCTTGTTGTAAGTGTGGAGGCTTGGGAAAGCAGTGTCTTTTGAACATTGTAGTGTCTTATTGTAGTTGTGTTCATGATCATCCTTATTTGGCATGTCCTGTTTCTAGCAGCTTCTAGAATGGATTTTTGGTTTTCTTTGGAACAATGAGCTTGCCTTCTAGATATAGATATGTTTTTTATTACGGGTTTAACAGAAAGGTGGTGGAACTTATTTGGAACTATATATGTAGCTTGGTGTATTTGTTTGGATTGTTTTATCAAGACCTAGTTTCTTTATTAATCTCATTATTGGCTTTTCAATAGGTTCTTTAAGTGGATATTGAGAGTTTCTTTTTTTAATTTCTTGTTTTATTCTCTAGTTTCTTTTGGAGGATGATTTGTACCTCTTCCACTATAAAGTCTTTCCTTATTTAATTGTCACAAAAGAGGTTTTCGCATGTTCTTTGAATCAAGGTTTCAAGGCTCAGTCTAGAAACCTATATCGGTCTTGGACGGACTGGCATGGTTCTGGTACATATTGGCAACTGACACATAGTATGCCAACAAAGCAGTAAACATCGACCAAAGAGAAAGATGGAGAGGGCCGAGGGGGGTGGGAGTAGGTTGAGAGAGGAAGGTGAGAAAGAGGAGGTAGAGGAAGAGAAGTAGAGGAGGAAGAATGCAGCAGAGGAAATGGTGACTTGGTGGTAGTATAGCAGCAACGTAGAACGATAGTGGTGATGTAATGAAGTGGTGGTGTTGGTAGAGGTGAAGTCACTAAGTGCTCGAGTGCTCACCTAGGCAAAGTGAGCCCCGAGTGCCTTGAACAGAGGGTGAGTCATTCGCTTAGCCCAACTAAGCCATCTCGGGCTAATCTAGGCTTGCACTACATGCTTTAGTTGATATGATTGGACCAGGCTTGACTTGAGATTGATCTGAACTCAAGAGGAGAGACGTAGACAGGGAAATGGTGACTTGGTTGTACGACAGTGTCAACTTAGCAAGATAGTGGTGATGTAATGAAGTGGTAGGTGCATAGGTAGTAGTGAAGTCATCGGTCCTCAGGCACTCACCTAGGCAAATAAGTCAGGTGAGGCAAGCTTTGAGCCACTCCAATAGACTTGTGTGACTTGCTTGCTTGGCCCCGCCACGGTAGCATTACATCTCGATCTAACCCAAGCTTGCACCATATGCATTAGTTGATATGACAGGACCAAGCTTGCTCACGACTAATATAAGCTCAAACGGAGGGACATAGAAAAAGAAATGGTGACATCATGGTAGAATAGTGGCAGCGTAATGGGATATTGGCTATATAATTAACTGGTAGAGGCATAGGTAGCAATGAAGCCACCAAGTTCATACCTAGGCACACATTTTAGGCATGAGGTGCTTCAAACAAAATCAAACGAGTCGTTTGCTTGGTCCAGCCCCAATAGTGCTACATCTCAAGCTAACCCAGGCTTAGACCAGATGCATTAATGGATATAATTAGACCAAACTTGACTCAAGATTGATCTAAACTCAAATGAAGTGGTTTGGTCCAATCAACTAGGTAATCATATGCCCTTTGCCCCTGCACCTAGGTGGGAACTAGAAGCAACCCAAAGGATCTTGTTTGCAATTGAAACCCTCCTTTAAGCCCCTTGTCAATGACTTTCTACCAAGGATTGCAATTTTGTGTTGACCGGCCATGCTGATCTTTGGCTAGTTCGGTCTATACTGATGTATTGTGTGTTGGTACACCGGAGGCCTGAAATGTGTCGACTATTCCGAAAAATGCCCAGGAAATATCTGAAACCTATATTAAGGTATTTTAATTAAAACTAAATGCAAATCTAGTTTTATTTCAATAAAAATATGTTAGGACTCTAGCTTGGAGAGTCCTAATTGAGAGGGACATTCATGTAAAACTGTTAGGACTCTAGCTAGGAGAGTCCTAATTGAGAGGGACATTCTGTTAGGACTCTAGCTAGGAGAGTCCTAATTGAGAGGGGCATTCATGTAGGAGGTGTTTTCTTAGAGAAGAATTAGGAGTTGTAAGGGAATAAGAGTCTTGACTAGGAGTCCTACTAGGAGTTGGTTAGAAGTAAGAGTCTTAAGTAGGAGTCCTATTAGGAGTTAGGGTTTAGAAGCCCTATAAATAGCCATGTATTTCTTCTCTTTTGATAAGCAATAGATGAATCTTTTCTGCAGCTTTTGAGCAACAACTTGGAGGGAGGAACCCCTATAGATTTCCAAGGAGGCCGATCCCCTAAAGAGATCAACCCCAAGTTTAGAATCTGCAAGGGTTCTAACACCTGGTATCAGAGCAACGTTCTTGGCATCTCGCTGCCCTTCCATTGCCATCCATCAGCCCTCCACAACCTCCCAAAGCAATTCCCACAATTGCTTGAAAGATCGTCGCCGAATTCCGCCATCATCTCCACCACCGTGGATCATCCTTTGATCTCCCCGTGAATTGCAACAGGTTCTAGTTTCCTACCTTACTGCTGCTGCAATTTAGTTATCCTTATTCGAAAATCCAAAAAAAAAACTGTTCCTATATTGCTGCATAAACCTTTTGTCACAAAGTTTTCATCTCTACGACGAAAGATACATTGCATAATTCCAGCCGCATAGCACCATCTCTTTGATCTTGCAACTGTGCTTTTTCTATCCAAATTTCTATGAAATTTTTATGACATCTTTGACACTTCCTAACAGCATATTTCCCTTTGGTTTTTTCAAAAAATTCTCAATATAAACCATTGATCTTTTACGTCTAATCTGCTATACTTGAAAATCTGCACTGTAAAATTTCAGCCGCATAGCACTGTTTGTTTGATCTTGATACTATATTGTTTCTATCCAAATCTCTACGAAATTTTTATGATAGCTTTGACACTTCCTAACAGTGGATTTCCCTTTGGTTTCATCAAAAAATTCTCAATATAAACCACTGATCTTTTACGTCCAAACTGCTATACTTAAAAATCTGTGCTGTAGAAAATTTCAGCGGCATATTGTTGCCTTAACCCATCTATTTGCAATCTTTTTTTAATGAAATTTCTTATACACTTCATAGATCATCTTGGCTTCCATCTAAGATTGATATATTAAGGAATTCATCTCTAAAACTAATTTTGTGTTGCTGCAAATTTTCATCGTAACCCGCTGAAATTTTTCGAC